TAAATCAAGCCATTTAAATAAATATCATGGATCCAATGCATGAATAATAATTAATTAACAATTATATATTCCATGCATTTCATACATCGCATAAATAAATAAATAACAGATAAAACAAATAAAACGGCCAATGGAATCAGCTTTTAACATTTAATTGCTCTAATCACTGCGCGAAGATCTTCCATCAGCTTGCAAACACCTACAGGAAGCTGGTAGGCATCTGGAAAAGCAAAACAGTGCTTGGAACGCGCCCGGAGAGTGTCCAGCATGTCCCCACGCGCTCCCACGCGCTAGGGGAATGGACAGGAAGTCTCCACGCGCTACTGGAAAGTTCCAGCGTGTGCCACGCGCTCCCACGCGCCTGCACGCGCTGGAGGGATGATACAGCGCGTGCCACGCGCCGGCACGCGCGCGTGTGATGTACTTGCTTGGCCTGGCGCGTGCTCCTCACGCGCCAGCAAGCAGCTGATCTGGCGCGTGTGGAACACGCGCCAGTTGCATGTAAGGTGCGCTGCACCTGATTCCTCTCTCCAATCCAACCGTTGTGGATCCGTGCGCACGATACTAAGGTGTACCTTACCGCACTTGATCCTCCTCAATCCCTCCGGCTCTACAGTCGTTGCCGACGGCGCTCCGGTCGCCGGGAAGTCGCCGGAAAACCGCCGAAAATAATTAAAAATTCCAGAAAAATTAAATTTAAGCCCAAAAAATTTCAGAAAAATTCCAAAAAATTCCAGAAAATTCCTGAAGCCTAATTTAATCCTCTTGAACCTTCTTGAAGCTTCATAACATCCTTTGATGAAATTACATGGCTTTAAAAATATTTACAATTTGAAATACAATGGAAAAAATTAAATTACATCATTGAACTTTCAAGCGGCTAAATCAAAGCCTTAATTACATTCATCCAAGATAAAATTACATTCAATATTCCTATAAGCTTCATCCATGGTCCATACATACATCATCATTCATTCACAATTATTCATACATCATCATGTATCAATATATATCAACATATTAAATCATACATCAACATACATCAATAAAAAGATATATGAATATAATTTTGGATCCATGAATGATGATTTTCATAAAATCATGATCTCTAGTAATGAATCAAACCATACTCTGATACCACTGTTGGGAAACGTGCTAGTTTTAAAAACTTTTTGAGGGATTTAAATTCATAGATCTTGATTCATTACATAGAGACAAGTTTTATGCAAAAATAAAAATATGATGTATCATTCAATTAATGGATTGAATACTTACATCAAAGGTCTGAGTAAACCTTTAAAACTTTCCTCTAAAGTGAATGTTCTCACTTATTGTAGATCCCTTAGCAAGATGCCTTCTCCTTGGATCTCCATCTTCTTGGTAATTATTTTGCCTTTAGGAATCACTCATAAGCCTACATGAATTACCTTGGAAAACTAGGCTTGTGGGAGCCTCTATTAGATGAGACCATAAACCCTAATTTTCTAAAGAGAGAAAATTTATTCCTTTTTCCTTCTCATAAAAATCACCCACTAAAATATACATAGACCATGTATATTTATAGGCAACATAAAAATAAAGAAAAGGAAACAAATAATCCTTCTCAATCTCTAATTCACATGTCTCAAATCTAATATGATTCCAATATCAAGTTGGGCTATGAGTGAGAATCCATTGGGCCTATTATTTTATTGGCTACAATGAATTAATGATTGGCCCGGTCCATGGACCCAATTAAATTAATTCATAAATTAATTTCTACTCCACTAAAAGAAATTAATTGAACTCCAATTAAATAATAAATAACCTCTAAGTCAATGTTGCACTTTGACCCCTCTATGCATAATTAGTTATCGGATAAATAAAGCCATCAATCCGACTACTTAATTAATATATCTATTTTGGTACCTCTGATTATTTCTGACTCGATCACAATAAAACATTTGTTTGACAAAAATAATAATTTAAATAAATAAATATATAATAAATCATTTTGTCTAAAAACATACGAAGGCCTTCGAATTTACTTTGTGATCAACCATAATCAATACAAAATAAATACAAGTAGCAATGATGCAAATATTGAAAATATAACCCTCTAACTATTAATTACATAACTACCCAAAGTGTCGGTCTAAGGATGCCGAAGAATCCGCCGAACAAATCAAAGTAATTATTAATTAATAAAAGAGTCTATACTTTTCTCATGCTTAAGAGTCAAATGCCATAACGGTGATAGGGAGTAATTGCATACGACGGCTCACGCAATATATCTCAACCTAACGCGGATCCAGTTCAAGTCTTAATTAATTATGAGTCCATCCATAATTACCGACTATGAACAATTTATAATTACTATTTATATATCATGCATTGATTGCCATCACATACATATATATAAATATTTCTTGTAATTACATGGACATTATCAATTTCATAGTGAATCGAAACATAATACATTGAATTCACCAATTATATAAATCATAAATATTTCAGATATGTCAGGAACATATGTCACTATAATCCAGATAGGAATTTGCTATGCCAGGACATATAAATCCCAACACTACATCCATCTCACCTTTTCACAATCTTTAATAAAATTATTCTCTTTTATTAATTATATTTATTTCTCTTTAATAAGTGTAGGGTAAACCAAAACTGCTCTATTGCTATAACTTGGTGGTGTCAAATTTTTTTCTTTTAGTTCAGTGCAAGTGTGTGTGTGTGTGTATATATATATATATATATATATATTCATACATATAAAGTTAAAGTTAAAGGGTATTCAAGTCATTTCAATCATTTTGGTAAGTCAAGATAGAGTCAAAAGGGTAATAATGTCATTTTATAAGCAAAAGTGTTCGAACACCACTAAAAAGTAACATTGGAGTGTAAGTGAAAAACAGACTAAATGTTTATAGTTTTTATTATTATTTTTTTTTTTTTTGTGGTAAAAGGCATTTTTATGATATGCCATACCTTTAGATGAGGACTTGATGAAATAGAAAAAGTATAATTCAATCCGAAATCTATTTTAATGATTCTGGTTTTTATATTTTGAATCCAAATTATAAAATAAGCAAAATAAAGAAATTCATTGGAAAAATTTACCATAGCTCTAGGTTGGTATAATGGATAGACGCTTGTCTATTTATTCAAAAACTCAAACTGTTGGGTAATGCTGCACGCGCATACCCACACACTTCAATCACCATCCAAATTCGATGTGGAACAAGTTTCACTTGTAACATTCTCCCCCACCCAAATCTGCGCAAAGTTCTCGTTGCGGTCGGACCACCTTTCCTATTTGGAGATAGACCCGGATGCCTTCTAGGTCAGACGCTTGGCGTGACACGTGATTAAGGATTGAGTCTGATTCTGATATCAACTGTAACGGGTGGACGCTTGCCTATTTACCCAAAAGTTAAAATTGTTGGGTAGTGTTACATACCCACTAATTTATACACACTTTAACCTTCATCCAAATCCGACGTGAGGCAAGTTTTACATGTAATAATTGAACTCCATATGAAAGTAGGGTTGATTGTCAATTTCGCTTCTCCTTTAGGTGTTAGTCCCGATTCGTCATCACTTAAATAAGTTTGAGGTCATTCAAATAAGATTAGGGACTTGTTTGGAGAAAGAGTTTAAAACCCTTCAACTTCCAAGTTTGGGGAAAGAGTTTAAAAGCCGTCAACTCCCAAACTTGCCCCCGACTATAATGAATATATAAATAAGGATTCTCTTTAGTAATAGTTTTATTTTTCCTTTATTTTTTTAATAATAAATTTAATTTTAATATTGTTTATTATTACGGTAGTTGAGTATGTGGTTATAATTAATATTTTTTTTTGTAAAATTTATCTTACATTTGTTGAAGTTTGAAATATTTTTCTTACAAAATATGTTTATCGGATCTCCCTAAACCGGCCCCAACTCCGATGCGGGATGATATGGGCAGGATATAGGTTTGAAAAAAAATATTTGTCCATGCGACTGGTTTGAAATAGGAGTACCTTATCCCGAATCCATCCGTTGACATCATTATATGAATTGGCATAAATTAAATAGATCGAATTTAACTGGGTATTCAATCAAATTAATTAAATAGATCGAATTTAACTCAGTATTCGATCAAATTAAAAAATATATATATTAGTACATTATTTTTGTAAGTAGAGATGAGAGTTGAAATATTTCGGTTTCAAATGGGCACACTGGCACTTGACGCTTGGGCAGCCACGTAGAAGTTGGTTCGGTGTCGATTATTATTTCTCTACTAAAATATTTGTGTTGATAATACAGGTGGAATACGCCTCACTATATGATATGGATTCTATCCACATTTGGATAGAAATTTTAACACTAAAATGCGGAGTTGGAGTTAAATTTACCTGACTCTGCTGGTGTTTGCTCTATTTTAATATTTTAATAATATTATTATTATTATTTATGTCACTGATGGTGAGGTCCTTTTCTTAGAATACTTCGTAAACCAACAAACACGTTAAGTCACCCGTCTTACATGCACAGGGAATTATTGAAAAAAAAAAAAAAAAATTTCCTATGAGGGGGGCCAAAGAACTTCCAAAATATGAGGTTAGAGTTAACCTTGGAAATTAAATTATGCTTGCATTCACATTCGCATTTTTTGTCTTTAGTCTAATCTCTACTAGGATTATCTAATAGGCATTTTGAATTTGAAATTATAATAATAATATATATATATATTTTTTATGACAAAAATATTAAAGAGTGGTGTAAGACTCAAACACAAATTCTCAAAAATAGACAGCAACCCAACCATTCGATCAACACATCATTTGCAAAATGAGCAAGATTTATTTTGTCATTTCCTTAGGAGAAAATTTTAGTTTTTTAATTTTTTCACTGACTGACTTTTAGTGCCTAACTATAAACTAACATGCTGAGCGAACTTTTTAACCTTGTTTAATCAGTGAGTAAATAAGAAAAACCACAGGTGGTCCTATAAGAAAATCATCTATTCTAAGTTTCGGATTGAAAGCATTCTTGGCAAAATAATGCACAATCTCAAATTACATTGAAGTTGGAAAATATCAAAAGAGATGCAAATTACATGAGAGTTGGAAAAGAACAAAAGAAATACAATTAACCAGCAAAAACAGATGTTAACACACGCGCACACACAAATAAACAAACAAAAACAAAATTGAACCTCAAAGTTCAATCTTGACATCATACAATTAAGACTTGGACATATGACAATTATTTGGAGGCACTCACAGCGCCGATCACAACCGTTAAATCAGACTCAGAAAATTATATTGCCCACCAAACAAATTGACACCAGACCCAGTTACGTATGTCCAGCTGGCACAATCATCACCGTCCATGTTCACAAAAGAAATGATGCAACCACAGCAAGTCCCATAGTCACCACCGTTCCATGCATGCTGAGACTAACTGCACCGTTTTGTGTAATTGGAGTACTAACCGTGGCCGGTTCCTGCTTCTCCTTTGCCGGCGGAGGCAACGGTACTGGTGCCGGTTCCGGTGCCGCTGTGGGTACCGGAGTACCAAAAATTTTCCAAGGAAGAAGCACATTGTCCACCTCATACGCAGCAATCTGGTTGTCAGAATAGAATGGGGTTGATACATTAGTATTCATAACACCAGTCGACACGTTCAATTGGTTGCCGGCGATTGTGACGTTAAGTGGGAACTGACCGGGACGGTTTTCTCCGGCTTGTGTCCTCAATGGATTGCTCACAGTTTGGAACTGCGATGCGGAGATATAGGTAGGTACGAAATGAAACTGCACGAGCTCCGACTGCTTTAGATCATCGAGAGAGTTGATAGTGCCCGGCTTGAGGTTGGAAAACGCATTGTCGGACGGTGCAAATACAGTTAGGCCATTGTTTGAGTTATTGAGCTGGGAATTGATCTGGGCATCCACGTGGGTACTTTTCAGTAACCGGATAAAGAGCGAAAAGTGGCCACCCTTTTCGAGGATTTTGGTGATGTTGGGGGGACCTGCAGGTGCTGGGGACGGTGCTACCACCGGGGACACTGCAGTCGGTACTGGGGGCGCTGCTACCACCGGGGATGGTGCGGTCGGTACTGGGAGCACTGCCGGGGATGCTGCCGGGGACTGAGCTAGGGTTGTGCTGAAATGGAAGTGGAATTGTAGTGTAAGTAAGAGAGAGAAGACAATTCGGTTCATCATTTTCTCGGTTCTTGGTGTGGCCTAGCTTGAAGGTTGCTAAGAAATTAATAGATATATGGAGGTTAACTAATTGGAGGAGTTGCCTTGAATAGTGGTATTGATCGAGTAGGAGATGGGAAAGAGGAGGAGAGATTGAGAGGCTTTATGGAGAGTGTGGGAGGATAATATTAGGTGAAGTGCATCCATTTTAGCAGAAATTAAGTTAGCATCCTAATGTGGTACGCTGGATATCATACAAGGTTGCAAGCTTTTTTCACTTCATATCTATTAAGTATGAGTGCTAACAACTTTTCTTTTCTTTTCTAACTTTTTTTTTTTTTTTTTAGGATGAAAACTTTTGTGATAATCAAAATCGACATCAATGCATAAGTTCAATAACATGTTTGATCTATTCATGCTGTTTTCTAATTTGTATATGGAATTTTTTTTTAATGTATTTATGTGGCAATTAAGTTGATTTTCTTTTTTCTTTTTAAATTGTGGTTATGCACTTTAAAATGTCATGATTAAATGTGGTCTTTTAGCTAGGGCATGAAATAGAATAGGCTTACTTTTAACTAGTTCTATTAGGGCATGAAATAGAATAGGCTTCACTAGAAATCTAATTCAATGGAAATCTATAATTAATCTGATTTTACCTCTTTGATCAGAATTTACTCCTTCCTCTCAATAAAAATGTTCAAGTTTTCAATTTTAGTTGTCCAAAATAATTGTCACAATTGAAAAGTCAATGTATTATTTTTTGTAATATTACCAATTTAACTTTTTTACGTTAGATTTATAAATATTAAATCATCACATCATTATGAAGTATGGATCCACTATGGATAAATTTGATAATACATTCACTATTAATGCAATAAAAAATACTAAAAATTATTATCTTAAAAAATTATATTCCAGAAAAGGGACATTTTTTATGGGACCAATGAAGTATAAAATGGGCAAAATATGAATGTTCTCCACCATAAGTCTAGACTGGACTTGAAATGGACATAAAATAAATCAAATTTAAATCCATATCTGAACCAAATCAAACACACACACACACATATATATATATATACACACACACACACACGAATATATGTGTTGGGTATTTTATCGATCGAAAATGCATCGGTATATGACAACGATTCAATTCGCATCTAGATAGGAAACTAGTTTTGCAAATTTTGATTCAGGTGCAGCATTGTTGGAAACTAGTTTTTCTACTTAGGATGATCTTGCAATTTTGGATCAAAATTGAAGTGGGTCCTACTAAGCTTTTGAGGTAGGTCCATGTTAGAACACGTTCCTCTTTGATCAAATAAGATGTGGGAGGTGAAAATCGATTTGGGGGATTGAAAAATGGAGGAAACTATTTGGGATTGAGCCATGGGGCTCCTTGTATATATTTAAGCTTGGGTCTAAACCCACCACACGCGCATGCCTAGCCTGTTTTGTAGAGGGGGTAGACCTAGTTAAGCACACACGAACGCGTGCTCTGGTTCAGGCCTGGACTTAGTTCTCATCTGTGTGGATTTTTTTGAATCAGATGCGGTGAAAACTCAATCTCAATTAGTTTCGATTAACCAATCAAGATGAATCGGGCCAACTGTGAGGGTTTATTTAGACTTGGGCTAGTCCAAAATTAATTAAGTACTCCAAAACCCGAATTAGTTTGGATTGACCAATTAAGATAACCAAATCAAATAAGGTGAAACCCAATCTGAATTAATTTGGATTAACCAAATAATATGAATCGGGCTAACCGAATCAGATGTTGTGAAAACCTTACCCGAATTAGCCTGGATTAACCAATTAAGATGTATCGGGCTATCCGAATCAGACCCAATAATCATTGGCAATTTTACAGTTTTAATTCGAAGAGTAATTACCAAAAAAAAAATTAACTACAAGTGAACCTAAGGAAATTCAAAATCTTAACCACCACATATATATATATATATTTCTTTAGTCTAACTTTAACTCTCCGTTTGTGTATGATATTTGAATAACATTCATGTCCTTTGCACTTTCCATTTATGTCTATTCAATGGGGTTAACTACTGAGTGTGTATATGTGTGAGGGTGGGGACTAAAACAATTTACGTTTTTTCTGAGTTAATTACTGGCTTCCGCAGATATGTACATTTAATAAATACATTAATAGTGTGGCTTCTAAATATGTATGAATTTTAAATTCCTAGGTCAAATAAATATTTTTTTATTTAATTTATAAATGATATCAGAGTCAATTATTTATTTATTTTATACCAAAAATGGGGTCATGGGCAGCCAATGTGAATGCTGGCAGAGGGGTTCATTGTAACGTTCAATGTCGCTTTTGGTAAGAGATTATTGATATTTATACATGTGTAGTCGAGTTTTGATATATATACATATATATATTTATTTGTGTGTGTGGGGAGATATATATATATTTTGAAAACTATAAGAATGGCAAATCTGCAAAACTATAAGAATGGAAATATATATATATATATATATATATATATATATATATATTTGTGTGTGGGGGGGGGGGAGATATATGTATATACATTTTGAGATGTTTGGTGACAAAATTTTAAAATAATTTTTTTTCAATTCCAAAGCAAACTAGTTTTCATGTTTTACTCTCCTCTATTGTAGGGTAATTTTGTCATTTTAATTAAAAAATAACACAGTTAAGCTCCATGGAAGTTGGAAAAGAAAAAAAGAAATTCAAGCAGCAGCAAAAACAAATGAAGGAAAAATACAGCTCAAAAGTATATTAAATATTAAAAATAATAATAATAATAAAACCTCATGGGCCTATCATTAGATTTGGACATATGACAATTATTTGGAGGAACTCACAGCGCCGATCACAACCGTTAAATCAGACTCAGAAAATTATATTGCCCACCAAACAAATTGACACCAGACCCAGTTACGTATGTCCAGCTGGCAGTCTGGCACAATCATCACCGTCTATCTTCACAAAAGAAATGATGCAACCACAGCAACAATTGTAGTCACCACCATGCCATGCATGCTGGGACTAACTGCACCGTTTTGTGTAATTGGAGTACTAACCGTGGCCCGCTCCTGCTTCTCCTTTGCCGGCGGAGGCAACGGTACTGGTGCTGGTTCCGGTGCTGCTATGGGTACCGGAGTACCAAAAATTTTCCAAGGAAGAAGCACATTGTCCACCTCATACACAACAATTTGGTTGTTAGAATAGAATGGGGTAGATACATTAGTATTTGTGGCTGTCGATCACCAATTGCTGACATGACAAGAAGAAAAGTCAATACAAGACATCGTGACAAGGTTGAAAAGTCAAGAGAGTCACGACAAGCCCTGGCACCAAGTCAGGCCTACTAAGCCTCGAAAACCAAGACTTCGAGCACCCACAAGCCCTGGCATTAAGCCAGGCCCACTAAGCCTCGAAGACCAAGACTTCGAGCACCCACAAGCCCTGGCATCAAGCCAAGCCCAGTAAGCCTCGAAAGCCAATACTTTGAGCACCCACAAGCCCTGGTATCAAGCTAGGCCCACTAAGCCTCAAAGACCAAAACTTCGAGCACCCACAAGCCCTGGCACCAAGCCAGGCCCATCGAACCTCGAGAGCCAAGTCTTCGAGCACCCACAAGCCCTGACATCAACGAGGCCTAGTAAGCCTCAAGAGCTAAGTCTTCGAGCACCTACAAGCCCTGGCATCGACCAGGCCCGGTAAGCCTCGAAGACCAAACTTGCGAGCACCCATACGCCCTAGCGCCAAACCAGGCCCACTAAGCCTCGAGACTTCCAGCAACTACAAGCCTTGGTACCAAACCAGGTCTATAAGACATCGAAAGATCAGAGCCCCAAAGAGCTCGCCATCAGAATACCATAAGTCTATGCACAACACGAAACGAGGTTAGGGCTTTCGTAGCTGTGAGTGATCTAAATTTGGGAAACGTAGGAGGATATTGGATTGGTGGATGAGAAGTCAAGAAGTGCCTTCGCTCTTAGTAAAACCTAATTAACAATATGATGGGATTATAAACATTATGACAACAAACCTTAAAATCACATTTAATGCTGTGTTAGGCTCGACCAACCGGTGGCCAAGCAACATTTAATGCCCTAATTGGGGGAGAAACAACATAGCAACACAGTGCAAGGCTCGATGAAGGGATTGGACCCCTCAGGCTCCTTGACCGGGTCCTCTTTTACAAGGGTCGCGGTACCAAGTCAAGCTTGAAGAGTTATGTGTGAATTTAGGAGGTGTTTTACATTTGTAGAAAGCCACTACTACCTTTCTCTATATAAAATATAGATAGGGTGAGTAGGGATCGTCCCAAGGGATTTGATGGTGTATCGAATTATGAAACTATGGTAATTAGGGTTAGTAGGTCAAGTGATCACACAATTGGTTGGTTGGTTGATTAAGCTAAATTGAATTCAACTAAATAAAATAATATGAGGTAAACAAGAGAGAGAGAGGTCTTGGGGTGTAGAGATCACCACCAAGCAATACTTTTCTATACTACTAACAAGTGATCAATTGAGGGTAATGGATGTGTTGCAATATGATAAGGGTGTGTGTGCATTAGGTTGATTCAATTGGTAAGGATGACAAATCAAGCAAGTATTGTCTAAACATCATGTGAAGAGCACAATATATCTAAGCAATAGAGCATATATTGTCTAGACAACATGGGGATAGCACAATAGATCAAAACAAGTTATTAATCCTTCATTAAGCTCACAATCCACATGCAACACAATATTAAAGGAATATACCATTTGGACTCACAAGCATGGAACATCAAACATCAAGAGTAGATTGTCCTCCCATCTAACATTATACTACCACTACACTAAATCTACACTACTAGCATGAAAATAAAGCTATCTAGACTAGGGGAGAGGCACAAACCATCAAGAATAGGCATAAACCATCAAATGAACCAAAATAGCATTCATTAAGCATATCATCTTGATAATCTCTAGATCTATAGCATCAATACACATAGACATGCATCAAAAACACTAAATCTAGAGATAAGCACATGAATATCCTACTTTAGCATACATAGACATATGGGTAGCATAGAATAGTCAATTGGAAGCATTAAACCATACAAACCATGAAATAATCAAGATTTATATATACATGAATATCAAGATGTATCATACAACACTAATCCCTCAATAATACACATGATTAGAGTATAGAAAGCATGCTTGGGGCTAACTCTAGCCCCAAGAAGATGTCTAGCCACTCATGGTAGTGATGATCCAACCCTCAAGGGCTAACTCC